AATGATCTTTCGGCACTCGCAACTCCGATAGGTAATGTTATGAATAATCTTAACAGCAATTCAATATTAAGAAATATATCCACAAGTTTTTGATCCAGTAGATATTCAAGATATCCTAATGTGCCTCTATCAACACATGGTTTCTTCTGAGAATAGAAATAAATATCTTTAAAGTGAATCATTTCGTTAGTCAAACAGGGCGAAATAAAATTGAATTTTTCACTCAGTTTTGCACAGTTCTTTTCCAAATCTTAGTTATTACAATTTCTGAAATATGCCGGATTCAAAAAACCGAAAAGTTTTGTAACTTCTTCAAGTCCNTTGATGCTATCTGTCATTTCTGTAATCATTGCGTCAAGCGTTACATTTATGACATTAACTTTGAAATTTGTAGTAACATCTGTGATAGAATCATCTTTTATGCATTTATCATAAAAAGTTTTTTTTTCTTCGACTTCTCTTTTCGTGAAAATACATTTCTTCTTCATCCATTCCAGACTGAAACCATTTGGATTGTGCAGTTTGAAGTAGATTGTCGAAATAAGTGTCATTTCTCAATGAACACAATTTTTTTTTAGATTATTTCATGAAGAACATCACTTGAAACAAGTCAATTTCTTTCTTTTGCAATAACTTAAAAGTGATATCAACAATTTGCAGAACGTCGTTCCAAAATGTCAAAGTGACTAGAAATTCGAAGCTGAAACTATCTAATAGTCCTGTAGCTGTAGAGACTTCCTCTTGGTCGTACTTTAATTCGNCAATTTGCTCCAAACAAGTAATCACTGACTGGAAATTTTGAAGCAATGCATGAATAGCCTTTGCTCGTGCAGACCATCTAGTACTTGATAAGCTTTTCAGAGTGAGAACTTTTTCTTTTTGCGGAAATAGTTGGTCTTCGTCCTCTTCGATTTCTGCAAATCCTCGATTATCTCTGCAAGTCTCTTTTAATATAGCCCATCGGCGTTGTCGTGAATCCGCAAAAAATTTATAACATTTTTGAACATTTCCAAAAAGGCTTAAAGTTTGTATAGAAGCACATTTTTCTGCTGCATGACTCAGTGCTAAATTTAATTGATGAGATGGACAATGCACATATGGTGCGAAGGCTTGTTGGCTTTCTTGGCTAATAGCTTTACGCAGCAGGGTATGAACACCATTTTTTCCACCACTCATAACACTGGCTCCATCATATGCTTGTCCAACCATATTATCAGTATTCAAATTATGGCGTTTGAATGCATCTAACAGAAGTGAAACGTACCCCGGTGCATCGTGATTTTTTAAATTTAAATATTCTAAAAATATCTCTTTTATAGACACAATATTATTAGAGTGGTCTGAATGTACGTAACGAATCATGAGAGCTACTTGATCTGTTTTCGAGATGCCTGTGGTGCTATCTACAATTATGGTCCAGAAAACAGCATTCCTTACTTCATCTAGCAGAGTGCATCGAGTAATATCGACAAGAAATCTGACTTGTTCTTCCATTATAGAAAAACTTAAATATTTAATTCTGTTCTCGGACTTTAAATGATGCTCTAATGGCGAATAGTACTTGGATAGAAATTTAATAAACGTTAAATACACGCCACAATCAGAGCGACTGATGTCACTTGAATGACCTCTCAAAGGTATAATGGAATAATATAAAAAATAATGGAATGTTATATTTAAAGTGTAGTATTTTCTCTTTGTTATTTAATTTTTTTAGTTAAAAAAATTTATAAAAGTTTATCATGCACCGAGGGCCCGCAGATCCCGGGGCCCGTCGGTGCATCGCACCGGTTGCACCGACGTTAAATCCGCCTCTGCCCACAAGTCGATCATAGTCACAACATCTTGAACACGAGTCCGACACAGATTCCCACTGTGAAAGAAGACCGTGTATCGCGTGGTAGTAGTGTACTGCACAACGTTTCCATGAAAAAAGTATTAAAAAATTTAATTGACTTTGACATAGATGTGTCTTATCCAGCAAGCAAGCTCACGTGATAATGACGTCAGTTTTTGGTCTGAAAAACGTCAATTATGACATAACAATGACGTGATTTTGACGTACATATCACGTGATTATGTTACATCTTATTGACGTCATTATATTACGTCAAGTAGACGTGAATATAATCAAAAAAGTCTCATCAATACATGGTAAAGACGTTATTGTAAATAAAATACAACACTTAAAGAACAATAGTATCAACATCCCACATAGCATGTAATATTACTGCATTACAGTAATAAAATGACCGCCGAAATGCATCACAGTAATATTACGGTGATATATAAAAAAAAACGCTTTATAGAAACAAAATTAATTCAAAATTTCACTTGAATTAATTTTTGGAGATCTGATTCAGTTTGCCAATCAACTGATTAACTCGATGAAAGATATCGGGCCTGGAAAGAATCCTAAAGGTGATGGTGGGATTTGAAACTCGAGACCCCCATATTTGCAGCCCCTGCACTCAGTCCGCTAGACCACTTGTTCCTTACTATAATGTAATTATTTTTGGCTCTTATGACCGAAGATTTCATGTTTGTAATTATTTTTCTTTACTTATTCTCAAACTATTCTACACATTTTATTTATTATTTAATACTAAAAAATATTTAATAATAACTGTTCTTATTATAAAATTTAACTACAATAAACTTTAGTTATCATTGAATATATATTTATATATTATGTTATTTTTAATAAATTTAATATATAAAAGGTAATCAGTTTACCAAAGTGTACGTGGCTACTTATCTATAAATAAATGGCTATACTTATCTATAAATAATGTATTTAAAGATATAATATTATTCAAAAAACAAATGTTATTAATAAACATATTATTATAATTAACGGTTGAATTAAACTCAAGGTTGTTGTTACAACTTTATTTAATCGTTTTATTGATGTCATATTGAAATTCAATATATATAAGTTGATATATGACGTCAACGCGACACCTAAATGACGTCATATCGGCGACATCAATTTTTGGTATTGTAAATGACGTCAAAATAACATACTATTTATGTTACTTAACGTCGTAGTCATCAAAATCACTTCATAATCACGTCATTATTACGTAGGCTTACTTGGTGGGATAATAGCCTAGATTAGCTGAAGGCACGTAAAATACCTCCCCCCCC